GTTATGGGTCTTAAGAAGCTCAGTCTTGGTACAATTGATGTAAATGGGAAACGTGTGCTGATAAGGTTAGGCTCTTATGATAATGCTTAATTATCTAGGGTTGACTTCAATGTTCCAATGAAGGATGGGTTAATCACAAATAACCAAAGGCTTGTTCACTACTTACTTGCTTTATTCTTTCAATAGAATTGTTGCAGCTATCCCCACTATTAAACATGTCTTGGATAAAGGGGCCAAGAGTGTTGTATTAATGTCTCACCTTGGTCGGCCCGACGGCACTAAGGTCGAAAAGTATTCCCTCGGACCAGTATGTCCAGAGGTTTCCAAACTCCTTGGAAGAGAAGTACGATTTCTTCCAGATTGCGTCGGTCCTACCGTCGAAAGTTCGTGCGAAAATCCTGCACCAGGAAGTGTATTTCTATTGGAGAATCTACGCTTCCATGTGGAGGAAGAAGGTAAGGGAGTAAGCCCTTCTGGCCAAAAAGTAATCAAAATATCTTATAAATGGCTCACAGATTAAAGCCAAGCCAGAGGATGTCAAGTCGTTCCAGGAAAGTTTAACAAAACTAGGAGACATTTACGTTAATGATGCCTTTGGAACAGCGCATAGGGCACACTCGTGAGTTCATTGCATTATTACTAGAAAAGGGTTTCTCTTTTATTCTTGAACGTTATTCTTATCCTAGATCTTATACACGCATTTATTAACTCAATATTAGCTGCGATTTTTTAATTTAAATTATCTAAGTCAAATTTGCTTACCTTACCCCATACCTTTAAGTTATCTTTTCCTGCCTTTCAAAAATTCTGTATATGAACGGCATTTGCTCATTGACTCTTCCATTTGCCGGGTTGCTAATTCTTTATCTAATTATCATCGTAAATGATTATGTATTAACTGGCCTATTAGCTTTCAGATATCATTGACTCCTTCTAAGATCTCATTTGTTTGCTTCTTTAGTTCGATGGTTGGATGCAAACTTCCTTTGCGGGCCTGTGGGTTCTTGATGGAAAAAGAGCTGACCTACTTTGCTAAGGCTTTAGAGAATCCTGTTAA